CGAGGCGTTGATTTCCATTTTCATGTCATCAGCCGGAATGTCTATTTTAAAGGCGGGATCAACAGCAGCTCTGTGACAAGCACAGGAAGTGTAACCTCCCGTTTACGTCACAGAATTGTATACATTTATCAGCCCTGGAATGAAAAAAGGCCAGTGGTCCGTAAGGGGGGGTTTAAACCCGAGACCTGTCGGTTCTCGGTCAGAAGATCTAGCGACTGAAGCGAATTCGTGATTCGTACGAATACTTCCCTCCGGCGGAATCGAACCAGGCACCTCCTGAGTTCGAAACCAAATTCTTAGGCATCTTATCACTACGCCATACATACCAGAGACGTTCTGTGCAAACTACTTAAGTTGATCATCACATAAAGACGTAATCTAACCGGCTTGCTTTATATCCTAAGGCTAACAGCCGTGGTCTGAGGCCATTTTCCGACCGCTATTCAGGACATGCCAAAACTTTTGTCAATCATATTTATTCATAACTTGATTTTATGGTCACAGGATAATTTCAAAAAAGAAGAGCATTTATGATATTGTTTATTACTTCGTTTACTGTTCTGTTGATATTCAGTGTCAACCTGAAATACATTATAAGCCGTACTGGTTCTCAGTAACTTAGCGATGAAACAGACTCTGCCGAAATTGGTTATTGGTTTATGCTATGTTTGCCGAAGGTGCTCACCGTCCGTCGAAGTGACGGCGTTTGAAGAAGTTGCGATGAATTGTGCGAAAGTGAACAGGGATTAGCGCATGACAGAGAAATCAATATGCTATGACGGAAGAACCGGCAAAAACTTGGGAACGAAATAAAAAGCGAACTCCGACGATTGAGGTTATGACAGGGGGACAGGAAACGGTTTAAGGGGGCAGCGTTGATATTTCATGAAGAAACACAAGGCATAGACGGACGGACACGTAGAAAAGTGGAATACCTGCGCGATGACGAACTGTTGGAAGAGGTGATGGCCGAAGCTGACCACCAGTAGGTAGACGATGGTCATCAGCACGGCGATGACGATGCACAGCAGCGTCGGCAACGGTAGCATGGTGTAGATGGAGAAGACGAAGAACGTCAGTTGCCATAATCCGTCGGCATAGCTGAAACGTTGAGGGTGTCGCATGGGCGCGTTGAACAAGTCGAGGGGCAGCGACAACAGAGTGAAGAGGAACAGGGAGGTCAGCGTCACGTAGACGATCCGTTGCACCACTTGCCTGCTGTGAGACTTCCAGATTAGCACCAGCAGCAGACAGAGGCACAACGCCACCTGCAACGCCAGGTAGACGCTGAGCACGGACAACGTGTCTTTGCTGAAGATGAAGATGAGCACGGCCAACGTCGCGGACAGGCCGAACAGCACGGACACGATCTGCAGCAACGCCGTCTTCTGGGCACCGAATATGTACTGGTGGTACAGGTGCTCCAACTCCTCACTTTCGAACCTCAGTCTTTTGAAGTAGCCGATGAACGGAATGTGACTGGTGCAGTGGCCGATGTGAACCGAGTGGTCGATGGACATCGCCTCTGTGGACACCGGGTCGTCGTCGTCAGTGATTAGCAACGGCCGGCTTACGTGAAGCTGGCAGATCGGTCGGCAGGTTGGTTCGCGCACGGATCGACGACCGCACCTGGCTGCGGCTAAAACGATGAACACTAAGGACCTGTCTGCCGTTAGTCAGTCGGTCCGTCAGTCAGTCAGTCAGTCAGCAGTCAGTTAGTTCTGTCTGTCGTCGCCACAATCGTCGCAGCGACATCTGTTGGCTTTGCCGATGGTAATTGTGGTTAAGTCGTCGTCGGCGGCGGTGGCGGCGGCGGCGTCCGTCGTCGTCGAAGAGCTCGAAAACCTCGAACCTCGCTGAATCACCATCACCTACCACTAACCGATGAGAGAAAGGATGGACGAACGGTCGCTACGTGAGGTACGCCGCATGCACACGCGCACAACTGCTCCCGCTGCTCGATGCCGAACACCGTCGTCGTCACTCTCCAACGGCGGCTACGACGGAAGGCCTGATCGAGGCCAATGAGACTCGCAATTGCACAAGCACATGGCCTCAAGAACGAGGTGGCCGCCGCCGCTGCCGCTGCCTCTGCCTCCTCTGCCTCCTCTGCCTCTGCTGTGGCGGCGGCCGGCCAGCCGGCAGCCGAGACGGCAGCGGGTATCGTTGCTGCGGCATGCAGAGGTATGGCGCCTCTTTCCTCTTCCTCGTGCCGAAACCGAATGAGGAACAACGACGACCATCTTCCGCTGATCTTCTTGCTCTGGTGGTAGCTTTAATACTAAAGATAGTCCAGAGGTCCGCTTGAACGCAACATCACCTGTGGTATGAAAAGTCGCTTCATTCAATTTCGTTCAAGAACCGTTTCCACTTAAATAAAAAATTATTTGCTCAAACGAAAATTGGAAACTATTACTTTCGCATTCTTTGCGTTGAAACAAAAACAAGTTTATGCAATTACACATCGCTCTTGTCTTAACTGTGTCTTTTCCTCTGCTCGGCGACTGGGTGCAAAAAATTCCACTCGACGTTCGCATCGAGGGTAGAAATAAAGCCAACCGTTGAACCGTTTCTTGGCCATCTGCTGACCCACATCTTCATTTTTTCCGCCCCGTCTACGGAGATCAAATCGATCGACGTTGCCAGCCAAAGCGTCAATCACGATTATTTTGCTTCTGACTATTTTGACTACTGCGGCTGATTCGAAGGCAAACATGCGCGCTGCTCTGAACTTTGACTGAACAGCAGATTATCATAATATTCGAAACGCAAATAACTTTTTTCGTCTGTACGTTTTGCCAATCTCTACTCCGGATAGTCAGCTGTCAGAGGAATCGAGGCAAATTGAAGTTTTAAGAGGTGCCAGCATCATTCGGCATCGCCGTACTTTTCCCCATTCTTAGATGATGACAATAAGACACTATGCTGTCGCTGTTATCCGCTAGTCAACGATTTTCTACCTGCTTCTCGACCGGCTGCACTGAACCAAGGTGGGGTGAATTCTTTTGCTCAATAGAATTATGAGTTACTAGACGAAAAATTTCTTTCGATTCGAACTCATCACCTCGAGTTCGAGCCAGGCACTTTCTTCTATGCCGAAACTTCCTAATGACAAAGAGCGGACCTCACTTCCCTTAAGGTAATATAAGTTTCTTGCCTAGACGATGGGCTTGAAGCCGACTTCTTACTTGTTGCCCGATACTGATTTTTGCACGATTTCAAAGATATTTTTTCCGTTCACTGTAGGTGAGAAGGTGAGCCATCTTCGGAACTGCCGTAGACCAAATACCCGGCTGTTTACTTATGCAGTGGCTTAGACGTGTGTCATTTCTGTTTGCTTGCATGCAAGTCATAATATTCCCTTTCTTAAAGTAGCCCATGAAGCTAGTTAATCAGGCAATGTGTCATTCCTTTTAATGTCCCCTCGATTCATGGTTCAAAACGCTCAGAATTCACAATGGAGACAAGAAGCTTCGATATGGTGACGAGCCTGGTTCTAATTCAGACGAAATTTTCTTCAGCTTTAATTCCTCCATGCTATTTCAGGCAACGAGCCGAGAAACAGAGAACAAGTTTTGACTCGCGAACAACGAGGACATTATAGCACTCTGACTGTGGAGGCTAAATGTCCACTGCCTGAACTCGCTGGCTAATATTGCGCGTAATTCTGTAGCAATGCAGAAGGTCAATGAAGCCAGCTGTGCCTGTGATGGCAAACAACGACAAACAAGATAGTTTTCTGCTATTATAATACCATAATGTTCAGGTACAGCCATTTTGTCGAAGCAGGCAATTCTTATAATTGCGAACCGCATTGATCTAGCTGATAGCTAACTACCGGGTGTGATAAGAGGCGCTGGTGATGCCCAAAAAGGTTATGTTGCCAGGACGATGTTACCTTCGATTGTCCACCACTATCTACTAATGAGGGTAAAACAGGTCAGGAGTTATAAGTTATGGCATCTGCAACATGCGGATGCAGCAAAATTGAGGTGTGCAAAAAAAATTTCCATTTTATAACGACAATACCCGGATGTCTTCATCCATTCAATACCCATTTGTGGGTGCCTGAGTTCTGCGGTTAAAATTCGATATTCATATTCCGCAGTATGTTTGGACACAAACTGGAATCGCTGACGCGGTTGTTCACACTAAAGCATCTTAAACGGTGATGAATCAGACATCTCTGCGATAAAGTTACCGTTGTTGATATAGAGACTTTTTTGACACTAAAATTTCAAAATATCCTGCATTATGGTGGCAATCGACTATAAGCGCATAAAGGCGTCTGGCGCATATGGAAAGTTATTAACTTAATTTGAATTTATTCCTTGATTCCTTGTTCGATCACTGTTCGTTTCTGCCAGGTTCACTACCACCGTATCACTTCGTCTGATCAACGCAACAGGAATCGCTTGAAGACCACGTTTGTCAGCCATCATGGACAGGATATCCGTTTGCCTTTAGCACGCAAATCTGAAGCTTAGCTCGTTCAGAGCTTCCCACATTGACCTCTGAAATAACCATCGCTCTTTCGGCAGCTTCTACCGTGCGCGCCAATGACTCAATTGAGGACGTTTACGATGTTGTCCTTCCGTACCGGAGGAAAGTAGATTTTAGTGTGCCACACAATCAAGGAAACCGGCGTCTTGCTTTACGCTCCAAAGTCAACAGGCATGAGGAAGCCACTCGGCACCACAAATATGTAATTGGAACATTTATATGAAACGATAGAGGAGCAAGACCAACTTATAAACTACTCCGGTTCTATGACGGTAAGATCTCATTAAAACTAGATTTTTGATATCCCGTGGGTGAAATCGTTTCAGTAGGATTTTCAGTATTTAGGCTGAAAAGGGAATATCCTTTTATATGAAAATTGCTGGAGCCTTACACGTAGACAAGGTTTGGTAAACAGCTGAATAACTACTATTCCAACGAAGGACCAAGAGCCACGGCTTCTATGCATAATGTGATTTAAACGGCAAAACCATACGTACAGTGAATTTGTTCTCTTCCAAGTACAGATATTACAGATATGCTCGATAGATGTTGACATTAAAAAGTGAGGTTCACAATGTTTGACAAACTCATTGACCACAAACTTGATTCCAGCCGGCGTGTTTCTTGTGAGGAACGGTGATCAAACAGACGGAGATGAGAAAGCCATACAGCGGAATGCATCTAACGGCATAACTGCACATGCATTATTGATTCTATTAATGCAATGCATTGCAAATGCCTCAAAATCATGTTCACAAGAAACAGTCATGTGATTACGGTTCGGCGATCCTTCATTTTACAGTAGGTTGAAATAGATGCCAGATGGTTCTTCGTTCTTCGTCTTCGTATATTTTTCCGTAATAAAGGAAAGTTTCATTTCCTGACAGATCAATGGCTGGACGTGAATCATGTCATTTGTGGCGATGG